AAGAAAAGTCAAGGGAATCATGAAAATCAAGAGTTGTTGAAAGTTGTCATTTTAGGGAATTAGGGTTTTAGAAACTTTCCATTTATGGAAAGTTTCATGGTTGAAGCAGCCATCTTCAAGGCAATTTTTCTTCATGATCAAGGTTTCAAATGGACTTGAATCAAACATCAAAGTTGTTCCTTGTATTTCAAGTTTTCTTTTGAGTACCAATTCATAATCATATGATACTTGGAGCTCAAGTTATGATCAATCAAAGTTGGGGATTTCAATGATTTCAATATTGCCAAGACTGGGCAGATTTTTGGACCCACTTTGTAAGCCAATTTTCAGCACTTTCTTGATGTCAAATGAAACTTTGTCACAAATGAAAGTTACATATCATGTTCCAAGCTTTCCAAAAAGTCCAAGAAGTCCTCAATATGATTTGTGAAGCTCAAGTTATGGATGTGCAAAGTTGAGGAAAAATAAGCCAAAATCCATAACTTAGAATTTTTTTTTCTAAGTTATTTCTGGACAGCTTGCATGGTATGATTTTCAACATCATTTTTCATGGTCTTCCAATCCTCAAATCAAGATGACTTCAACATGAAAATTGTTCCTTGCCATGCCCTCTTTACTAAAAGCTCAAGTTTAGGGCAAATGGATCTTTGCGCATCAAGTTATCATGGTCCAAAGTGGGTGTGCTGAACACTTTTTCAGAGGATGAAATATGTGGCATTTTTGCTTGCTGTTGTTTTTTCATCATATAATCTGGTTAAGTTTCACCCCATGCGCATGGATTCTGCATTGAGAGCACACTAAACGTTTCCCAAAATGAGCCAACACAAGCATGTACCTCTTTCCCCCATTTTTGAATCTTTTGCCAAAATAAGGATAGGACAAACAGCTGCTATTGTTCTGCTTCCTGCAGCCCAACTATGTCACTCTCTTCACCTACAAGAAGACAAGAGATTGCAGCTGGTTGATGGACCATCTTCATGATCAACCCTTGATTCAAAAAATCCATGAAAGTACAGCATCTCATCCCTTCATTTTTTACCATGGTAAAGCTTGTCATTTTACCCCTTTTACTGCATATTTAAGCTAGATATCAGTCCACACAAAACCCTAGCTACCATTCTGCATACAGAAACCAGAAGTTTGAGCTTTGAAAACTCTCTCATTTTGTGAACCATTTCAAACCTTTCAAAACACTAAAAACTGCTTAGGGAAAACTGCATACCAGCACCTTCTCCAACCATCCAATCACCTCAAAAATCATCCACACAACCCACACATGACCTTTGGAAGGTGTTCAAGCCATTAAACTAGTCCAAGACTTCATATATCCAAAAGTCAACCTTCAACCTAACAAACTTTGACTTTTTGCTCAAAACAAGATAACTATCAACTCAACACTCCTCCAACTCTTCCAAACTAAGTACACACTTCTATAACAAAGTTTGAGAAAGGTCACTTGGTAAAACTTTGGGTTTTTGAAGTTTTCTGCATATTTGTAAGCCTATCTGCCAAATGTTTGATTTGTGAATCATTGGAGCTGCTATCTTGCATCCTAGGAGCATTTGCAGGCTGTGGAAAGGCATTAAGGATCTGGTTTTCTTATTTGGCAAGGCAGCTGCAAGAGGTAAGCCTATATCTTTGAACATAAGTTGTTTTCCTTGCATCCTACATACTGTTTTGAGCCTTGACCGTGGTTGTATGCTGAGCAACATTTGAATGTGTTATGTGTGTGCTATGTGACATGTTTAAAACACTCATTATTATGCAATGTTGTGATATTATGTGATTTTAGGTCATGTTGGAACCAACTTACTTGTTTAGCAAGAATATTTGCAGCTGACATATATGATAGACTTTAGATTTGTTTGTTTGTTCTACCAACCATGAAACATGTTTGTCTGTTTGGATTAAGTGTGATGTTCATGCTTAGATTTAGTGATACACTAGTTTGCATTTGAGGACCCTGATAGATTATGTTTGACACTGCTTTTGATTTGCTCGTTACTTCCAATTTTGGTTCAGCTTAGATCAGTTTCTGTTTTAACTTTAAACTGTATGTACATGTCCATGTCTTATTGTAATTTGATGTGATTAATAAGTGAATATCTATCATGAACTATTATTAAATGGATACCACAAGGCTCAGGTTTTGGTTCAATCACTTCACATTGGCTACTTAGGTGGTAAGAGCATGATATTCTGACTCTGTTGTATGCAGACTATCTTGACAGCCTCGTTCAGTCTTAAGTTCTTTGGTTGTCAATTTGGATTATGGTCCTTATAGGTTTATCTTATGTTGTATTGAATTTGGCATTGTAATGTCAAGAACTTGGTTTTTGCTCAGTACCAGTTTAGTGTCATTTGGTTGTTTTCTAAGGTTGAGTTTGTCAACTCATAAGCTATCTGCTTCCAGATTTAGACGATAGTTTTAGCTTTGATTGCCATTAGAGGTGGATGACCTTGTTCTTTCTGTCATTAAGGGTGTGAGGGGAGGCTGATCATTACAGTCAACTTTCTACAGCTTGGTAGTTCTGTTATGTGCATCAGGGTTTGCTAAATCTTTGATGACATGTTTTAGGCAATCTAGGTAGGATGAGGTCATAGTACTTAATAGGATTTCTTTGTGTATGCAATTGCTGGTGTGAATGATAAGTTCTTGTTACAGTAATATTAGCATGTTCCATCGTGTTTTAAGTTGTGGGCATCAGTTGGAAAAATGGATTGCACCATCATGATCCTTGTGAAATTTCAAGTGAGTTAGACTTTTGTTTCATCAAATTTGGATAAGATTTGGAAAAGTTATGATCAAATCGTATTTTGAGTTTTGCCTTGTGTTTGCCTTAGGTTGCCCAGCCCTTTGCGTGTTTTCTTGGTATATGTAGAGCTGGGGTGGCTTGATACAATGGATGTATCGCCACCCTAGTGGTTAGAACCTTGTCCATAAGACCTTGCCCTGCCATGAGAACCCCTTGTTTGAGCCCTGCTGGGGGCGTTTTTGCTTCTTTTTTATTATTTTCCATGTTTTTAATATTTAACCTTCCTTTATTTTGTTTATCTCACGCGTATGGTTGGTAAGTTTGGTTAAGTTTTAAGTCTTGAACCCCAAGGTCAAGGGTTCAACTCCTAGTGTAGACATTTCCTTATTTTTTATGACTTGTTTATTGTATTTCTTTTATTTTAATTATTTTCTTCTTGTTTTGTTTTATTTATTTTAAACATAGTTTTTAAATATTTTAAAATAAAATAAAAAGTCATTTCTTAATATTTTTTGTGTCAATTATTTTTCTTCTTATTTTTTAATTTTCACTTTATTTTGTTATTTTATTTTGAATTTACCAATTAATATGCTTTGTGACTTGTCCTTTATTCAAATCAATTTCTTTTCTTTCTCATTTCACTTGTGAGTGAATTATTTAGTGTTTACTTGGCCTTTGACCATGATCCCCCTAGGATTCCTAGTCCCTCCGTTTAAGATGGGAGTAGGAGAGACATTAGGTGTTCAATCCTTTGCATGACAACACTAGGATAGTTTCATTCCCTTTCACCCCAACTTTAGGAGCATTGTGCATGACAACATTAGGGTCCAGTTTCCCCTTAGCCTGTGTCTTTCTCTTCTCATCTCCTAAACCATTCAAAACACTTAATAAAGGATAATTTGTGTCGTACGCTACGAGCCTTAAGTACTTGAGGAATGATGGTTGTGGGGCCTCCTCTCAACTGTCTAGAATGTTTAGCGTATGCCCTTTAGACGATATGTGACGCATTCGCTCTCGAGTCATAGTCTTTAGTGTGACATGAGTTTCAAACCATAACTCAATCCACTTCTTGTCATAAAAAAATACAAAACAAAAACATCAAATCTTTTTATCCCTCGGGATCTTAATTGGAAAATCATTTTCATAAAGAGAGTTTTGTTAGCTCTTGGTTCTACCGCAAACAGGTAACGCCTAAGTCTCCAATGGTTAAGCTGCATACACCTAATTGTTGGAACCACTGTTTAACCCTACTCAGTTTAAAACACTTGAACCAACATGTGGTCGTGTCATCCCGAACTACGTTTGCTCTGATTTCTCGTACCAGACGAGGATATGTAGGCACAAGACGGCGATGTCTTGGCGAGAAACCTCCCCCACCTTTCACTCGTAGTTTTCCGAACTATGTTGACTCTGATTTTCCCATTGCACGAGGGAATACGTAGGCATAGAGCGGCGATGCTCTATCGAGTCTCTTTCCTTTTATTTTCCCCCCGTTGGCCTTTAGCATAGATAGATTTACCCCCTTTTAGATAGACAACAAGCGTGGATCCCGTCGGGTACGACGGACGTGAGAGATGTTAATACCTTCCCCTTGCGTAACCGACTTCCGAACCCGAGATATGGTTGTGATGACCTGTCTTATTCCCTTTTCATAGGTTTTCTTTGATCGGTTCCTTTCCCTCTCTTTGGGATAAATAACGAACGGTGGCGACTCTTCTATCTTTGTCGGCCCCTCTTCGCAGCGATGCGACACCCACACATTCCTCCAAATGCATCTTCCACCGCCTTTAGCTTTTAAATTAAAATGAATCCAATCCTTCAACTCCAAAGAGAAAAACTACACGATAAGCTTGCAAGGCCGAATTTTTTCAAAGACTCCCTAACCGTAGGACAATCTCCCATAGCATGTATATTTACAAACATTTTCACACACTTTGCACCTAGCATTTCCAATACCTTTCCTACTTTTACTATGGTTATTGAGAAGCCCATCATGCTTAAGAAGCCATATAAAGGTCTTACACCTCTCCGAAACTCGTAACTTCCAAATTGTCCTCCAATCATGATCTTCATGATCACTCTCATTCCTCTCAACGGCATGATACACCTCATTCATAAAAAAATTACCAGTAATAGTTCCTGCAAAAGAAAATTGCTAGTATCATGACCCATGTTAGGAGGCAAGAAAGCTCGAATTTTGTCTCTCCACTCTATGGGCATCCAACTATCAAGCAAGTTTAAATTTCACTCTCCTTGATTATTCACCAAGTCAACCACTTTAGCTCCCACCATCTCAGTTGGAATAAGATGTTTTATGGCACTAAGTTGCATCTCCTCCCCTAGCCAATTATCCTCCCAAGCACGAATAGTCGTGCCGTCCACAACATTCCAATAACCAAACTTGCGGACATCCTTATCAGCTTTAATTATCTCCTTCCATAGGCTAGAATCTCCTGCCTTCGAGTTAACAGATTGCAGATCTTCTTGACAGTTATACTTGTCTCCCAAAACTTCACAGCAAAGGTCCTTATCATTACTCACAATATTCCAGCCTAGTTTCATTAGGCAAGCTATATTCAGAGACTCCAAATTCCTTAACCCTAGACCACCATGACTTTTGGACGTAGTAATGGTATTCCAACATATTACATGGATCTTTTTATGCTCCTCTGTATCTCCCCATATAAACTTATGTTGTATGTTGTGAATTTCTTCTACAGTGGATTTAGGAATTCTGTTAGTCATCATCGGATAGAGAGGCATGACTTCAAGCACACTATTGGCCAAGGTGATTCTTCCTGCGAGACACAAACTATTCTTCTTCTAGTTTGCAAGTGTAGTAGCAATTTGATCCACAAGGTACTGAAATTCATTCTTCCGCAACATTATACCACTAAGAAGGACACCAAGGTACTTCCGTAGGTTATTAGTTATCCTATAACCATAGAAATACGCAAGTTTCATCTACATGTTCCTATTCACATTGTTCGAGAACATGAGGCTAGTTTCTCCTAGCTAACATTTTGTCCAAACATCCTGCAAAACATATTATGGATTCTCACAACACACGCCATTTGTGCTTCCTTGGCTTCTTCAAATAACAAGAGGTCATCAGCAAACATAGGTGCAAGATTTGATGGACATGCCTTTATAATTTTAACGTTTTCTAATTGTTCTGTCTCACTTCATGCTCAATGAGATGCGTTAATTTGTCCATGCATAGAACAATAAGATATGGAGAGATAGGGTATCCTTGCCTAATTCCACACTGGGGACGAAAGTACTTGCTCCTAGCTCCATTCCAATTTACATTAGTTTCAACAGACGTAACTGCATGCATGATAAGGTTGATCATACTAGCAGGCAAATTGATTACTTGAAAAGTGTCCCAAATAAACTCCTAGCTAACTTTGTTGTAAGCTTTCAACAGGCCAACTTTAATAACAAAGTGACCTTTTTTACCCTTCTTTTTCTCCATAATGTGCATAACTTCCTTTGCTAGAATAATATTCTCATGAAACGCTCTACCGGAACGAATCGAGTTTGAAAAGGAGATATCAACTTATTCATATGTTTCTTCAACCTTCCCAAGAACACCTTACTAACCACCTTATAAATAGTTTTACATAGAAAAATAAGGCAGAAATGCATAACCAATGTGGGGTGCTCTCCTTTAGGGATGAGACAAATGTCAGTTTGATTCACATCCCTTAACTGATTTGGCTGCTTCCAAATACGTTGCACGAACTTACACACATTCTTCTCAACAATGTCCCAAGATCTTTGATAAAAAAAACCCGTAGGAAATCCATCAGGACCCAGGGCTTTCCACGACTTCATATCAAAAAGTGCCATTTTTATTCCATCAGTTATGACTTGTTGATCCAGCTCAACAACCTCATCATCCTCCTGTCTGGGATAGGTAATTGGGGTCTGATGCCATGTTTTCCAATCATTACCAAGTCGAAACAGTTTCTTATAATAAGTATTAATCATCTCCTTCAATTGTTCCCCATCCTCAACCCAGTTGTTGTGGTCATCTTTTAACATAACAATAGCATTCCTCTTTCTTCTCGTGATGGTCTTCAAGTGGTAGTACTTGGTGTTCCTATCTCCACCAGCAAGCCATTTTGCCCTAGAATGTTGGAACCACATAATATCCTCCTTTTTCAGGATATCATTCAACTCATCTTGCAGCTTACACTCAAGCGTTCTCATGCCCCCATATTATTTCTCCTTTACATGCACTTTTTCACACCTTCAAGTCTCGCCATGATCTCTTTCTTCCAATGTTTTAAAAACTGGATCATTCATCGAATCAGGGAGGGTATTGGGTCACTGGTTCATTGGTCCAACCACTGGGTCACTGGTCGAATCGCATGACTAAATCGGATAAAATTGGAAAACTCGGTTGAATAAATTTGTCATTATAAAAAAATTATATATGTATTAAACCGGTCGAACCGGATGACTCGGTATTTAAAAAAACTACTAATGTTAGTTCTTTGGTTTTGGATTGGCAACATTTTGGTAAAATATGTTGTCAGCAAGATGTTACGTCAGATGTTATGTCATGACAACCATACATCATGTTCATCATGTTGTTTTGACATGTGCCAGGACATGCTATACCAGGAGTCTAGGGCTGGACTATTTTGGTATTTTAGTGCGAGTTTTGAGTGTATTTTAATTCACACATTTGCGTTATCCAATGAAGGATATTTTGGGGACTTCTGTCTTGACAGATTGTGTTGGTTTTTTTAAAAATGATCGTTGAGCCTTTTTAGGAAATTTTATTTTATTTTTCCTATTATTGTGCATGATATTATGCAATTGATTTAAACCTGGTTCCTGGTGATTTGCATTTTATTTTGAGAGTCCAAGCCCATGCAACTGTGATATTTATTTAAAGGGGTTTATAAACCTAAAGAATGCATGGATTTTTGAAGAATAAAGATTATTCGTGCATTGGAGTCTCTTTAAGGTTTAGTGTGTTTTTCATTGTATGTCACTCTTATATCAGTTTTGATGCATTGAGTTGACTAATTGTTAATTGTTAATTTTTCACTCTAAAGCTTTTAAGAAAGAGTGTATTGTTCTTAGTTGAAACTTTTAAGCAAAACTAAGTATTGTACTTGGAAGTGTTGGTACTTCTATTTTGGGTTGTTGTTAAACTGTCACTGGTTTGTGAGTGATAGAAAGTGAGAGGGGGATCTCGTATCTAGAGGGTGTCTAGGTAGAAGTTGCACAGGATAGTGATTAGGTGATAAGTTGTAAATGGGGGAGTTTGGCTTTCAACTAATATTGTCATAGTGAATTTCCTTCCTGGCTTGGTAGCCCCCAGATGTAGGTGACGTTGCACCGAACTGGGTTAACAACTATTGGTGTTATGTATCTTTCTCTCATTTATTTTTCTGCATATTTGTGGGTGTTCAAACTGTCTTGATCTCAGTGTTGTGATATCTATCTCGACATCTGGTATTTGCGTGTCGTAATTTCAACTAACACCTAAAAATTTTTAAAATATCATAATTTCACAAGTTTATAATTTAAATTCAAATTTGAGTCAAGTAATTGATTTAAGAATTTAACCAAAGTATCAATCTCGAATATAAATTTATGTTTGTTGCCTATCAAAGATGCATTACCATTAGAGGTGGCAAAGAGGACGGTCTGCTCCATTTAAGCCAGTCCAAAAGCGGCGGGGGGGGGGGGGGGGGGGGGGGGGGGGGGGGGGGTGTGGTGCACAACTTAGACATCCAAGCTCAAAAGTCAGGCGGGGGGCAACTTAGACGTCCGAGCTCAAAAATCAAGCCATGTCCGTTTACTAACGAGTTGGCGGGTCGAGCCCGCCAATTTTCTTTTTACAATTTGATTTACTACATAGTTTACAAAATTGTTAATCATTACCAAAGAGACCGACAAATTTTAACAACGCGTAGTACAACTTTAATTAGTCTTAATGTAAATGTCATATTCTTCAATATAAACAAAAAACATAACTATAATACCAAAAACTTAAAACAAACACAGTAAAATTCCAAAATAATCCTTTTGGTTAAAAAAATCAACAAGCACAACCTAGTTAAGGACATTTAGAAACACAAGTTAAGAAATCAAACTAACACAAGGTAAACAAAGATAACTAATAACCAATAACAAAAAACCAATCTTAAATACTTCATGGCAAACACTTTATCAATCATCATCTATGTCATGAACATACGAAGCTTCAAATGATATCGTAGCCATTGGATGAAACCTTCCATAATCTCTCTCCTTGTCGTCATCCACTATTTAATAATTATCAAGATCAACAACATCAAAATTAGTAGATTTATCAATGGAAGCAGCTCAAAAATAAAACAATCCAAGAAAAATCAAAGCTTCATTATTTAAAAATTCTCAATACAAATAATAAGCACTTAGTTGATCATTTTAGTGTCAAAAAATAAATAAAACGAGAACTCAAGTAGAGTAAAATACAAATCAAAATTTGATTATCATAATAAGAAACAAACCCCTTTGTGCAAACCATGTTAATATTTTTTTAATTTCAAGTAAAATAAATAAATTTTTTTAACAAAAAGCCTGTGGGCAAAACCCGTCCCACCCGCCTGATAACACGAAATCGTATATATATTTTGATGCATAATTCAACTAAAGTTTAACTGTTTTCGATCCGATTTTGAGTTATTTCCGTGTTATTTGTCTGATGTTTTGCAGGTATTTGATGATCATGTCTAAACAAGGCAATATGAAGAAAAGAAGCAATCTCAGATGAAATATGGACGAAAACCGGATGAAAACATCATGAAAAGCGCAGAATGCTGATTTTGCTGTTGTGACGACCATCACAGCTCCATGACGACCGTCACACGGGTGACGACCGTCACACATTGTGACGACTGTCATGCAGGCAAAAACGCCCCACTTCAAATGCACGTGAAAGAAGCAGTTCCAAGTCCCAAATAGTGGACCACTACTCCCTGATAATTCTGCCTCAAAGTCCACCTTCTTCAAGTTATAACCGTTAGAATTCCATTTCTATAAAAGGGGAAGAAGGGGAGCAGAGAAGGGGAGCCGCATTCAGACAACGAAATGCTGCCAATTTATCTTCAGAGCAACCTTTCCAGTTTTTAATATTCTTATTTGTTTCTCTTTTCTTTTTCTGCATTCCTTCTGTAATTCTTATTTCCGTTGTACGATCAATTGGCACAAAGACCAGAATCCTGCCAACATTTGTGGAGGATCTGCCCAAAGGTCAATTGGAATATTTACAGGTTTCTAATTTTAATCGTAATTCCAGTTTTTATTATGATGCATGCTATTATTTATTGTTTTTATTTATGTTTTACCTTTCCCGAATCCATGTCTAGCTAAATCAAAGTAATCGATATGTAATAATAATTCGGAAGGGATTTGATAATAACCGGTTGAAAATTGTCTTTTTTTCAAAAGTCGTTTATGGTCTGAGTGTTTAAAATTAATTTACTAAATAAACTTCGTCGCGAAAGCGAGAACTTATTTAAAAGTAGTTTTGCCACGAAAGTGGGAAATTAATTAAGGTACGAACCAACAAGCGAAAGCTGCGGCAAGACCAGATAGTAAACACTAGTCATTCATTTTAATAACAGCGAAAGCACTTTAAAATGAATTAGAACTTAGAGATCTCCAAAAAAATAATTTTAACCCCGAATGGGAAACGAAAGCGTACGTTTGGCCCTTAGAATTATGATTAGCGTCAA